TTATATTATATTATATTATATTAATACACATATAAAAATGCAGGTATGCTTTTGTTTCTGTATACATGTATGCACGTGGCATTTTTACTTATTCAGTGTTCGGTTTGATATTGTATCTATTGTGGCTCAGCCACATGCCCGAGAATGAAATTCACGATAGGTCTTTGGCCCAAGTTTGCTTCAGCATGGCGCCAAAAAGGTTGCTGCAAGCTCAGATCGTGCGGCTGAGCCAATTCCAGCTGCATGATGCAGTGAAGGATTGGGGCCTAGAAATCCCATCCGGGGCCTGAGAGCTTGAGATCCGTGCCATGTTAGCTCGTGCGGTCCACACAGAGGCGCAAGCCTGTAGCTTTTGTTCAGCAGAAGTTGCATTTGCCAGTGGGTTTGGGTTCTCCAGTTCTTGTGGGTTGCATCCGGCTTTCTTGGCGCCGCCAAGGGCAAAGGTTTTCGTGAGGTTTTGCAAGTTTTCGTCTGCGTGAAGGCAACCGGTTCGAGAGCGAAGGCTACCAGTCCAGAAGCAAAGCTCGCGAAGAAGAAGGGAGACGGTGCCGAGGAGGTTTACCCATGCAATAGCAAACCCTGGGTTTCGAATTATGTCTTGGGGGTCGTGTTGGGGAGGTTTTGGAAGTCTCCGTTTGCCTGGAGGCTACCGGTTCAACAGCGGAGGGTGCCAGTCCAGAAGCAAAGCTCGCGAAGAAGAAGGGAGACTGTGCCGAGGAGGTTTGTTCACCCACGCAATAGCAATGCATGGTTTTCGAGTTATGTCTTGGGGTCGTGGCGACAGGAGAATCCTTTCGAACAGTTCCCTGCAAGCTCACCCGTGGCATCTTTCAAGGAGCAAATCAGCAAGTTCAATCTCACAATCAGAAGCTGATTCCCTTTTCTGCGATTTTTCAGCACCCGGGGAACGTAAACCGGACGAAGCAAAAAACTCCAGCTTGCCTACTGCTGCTAAAGCTTCGGAAGCTGAACAGAGAGAGCAGGAAGGCGGGTCTTGGGAATGGTTGTGCTGCGCAGGTGTTGGCTTCAGGCCTGTTCTGGGACTTGGGGTTTAGACTTGAGTGCTGCAAACTTGTAGTTTCGACTTTGTTCTTGTGGAGGTCCGGTCCGGGTTTAGCACATGAGTTCGGAATGGGAGCAGGATCTCGCGGAGGGCTCGCCTATTGGTGCCAAAGCCACGCAAGCTGAGCAACCGAAAGATTTGGACTCCAGCTGACAAACCTGCTCGAGGAAACAAGTTTCGGAGTGGCAATGTCTCTGGGTGCAAGTACGAGGTCTTCAAGAAGTGCAAGGTGTGTGATCTCGAGAAGTGCCCGAAGTACAAGTACGTCAAAGCCAAAGGTCATCACGGTGCGGTTTGCTGGTTCTGTTGGGGTCGACTCTTGACGGCACTGTGGAGGCTGTTTGCTTGCATGGGCGTTGTGTTACATCCTGCTTATCCAACAGTGCTTTGCAGGCATGACTTTCCACGGCCGAAAGCATCTCTTGCTGAAGAATGCAGGGCGGCTGGAGGACTTTAGCCCCCATCGAAGAGCAATCCTGGTTCTGGGCTACATCAAGATTGGGCATATCAACCTTGGCATTTATGCTCGCTTTGATCAAGCCGGAACAAGCCCTAAACGATACTTCCACTATGTATGTCAGATATTGGACCACACAGCTTTGCACGCTTCCGAGGCATTGAAGGACGCCATTCAGCGCCTGATGCCCGAATTAACAGGCATATAGCACATCATGGTCTGGACAGATTGCGGACCCCATTACAGAGCATATGCTTTCTTGGCCACAGCAGTCCCATTGCTTGCGCAATCCGACCGACGGAGTTCCATCAGCTTCAGTTTCTTTGGTGAACATCGTCGAAAAGGAAGGAATGACGGGCAATTCGGTCTGCAGCGAATGTGGGTAGTGGGTAGAGGCTGCCACCAGCAGGAAAGTCATTTCCACGATGGAGCACTTCATTGAGGCTCCGCAAGACGGCGCCGCACACACGATGCGAACTGATCCCCCGCCTGCAGGCCCCAAGTACGACATTGACCATTTTCATCCTCCGAAACCGAAGAAATTCAATTACCTGGATGCAAGTTCGATGGATTTGAACGTGGAACCTTTACTGTGTCGGCTTCCGAAAGACCAAAAACAAGCGTTACCCGGTGTTGTTGGACGACTACACGTACAAAGACCGCTTCATTTCACACGAAAGGCCTCGAGAGCTCGGAGCACCTTCTCTGATTGTTTAAGATTCTGCTGAAGCTTGGCGGGTCTCATATCGCAAGGACGAGCCCGAAAAAGAAGGCCTGCCGGAAACTTTGTTGCATCGTCGCCTGGAGCAGCAGAGGCATGCCCGTCCGACTGAAATTACGTTTCGGCACACATCGCAGATGGAGAGGATTCTGGCAATCGAAAAGAAACAGGCCCGTCAACGAGCCAAGGCAAAACGCGAACAGGTCGTGTTTGCGCGCCAGTCACAAAGTGACAGCGCCAGCAGCAGAAGTAGTAGCAGCAGCAGCAGCAACGACAGCTGATGGAGGGGCCAAAAGAGTTGGTTGCTCAGGCTGTCTGAGCAATTGAGGTATGTCTATTCGCAGTTACCATCCTGAAACTCAAGCCCAATGGCTGCCAGATACCTGTGGCAGCCTCCATTATCAGAAAGCTCCGGATATGGTCTATGATCCGGCTGCGCCAAGTCCAATCTCCTGGGGATTCTTGAGGATGGCGCATTGCGGCGTTGATTGAAAGTTTTACATCATGATCCGAGCCCTGAAAGCTGTAGCCAGGACTCTCTGACATTCAAGGGAATTGGTTGTTGTGAGCCTGGACTCTGAACCCCCGAAACATCCCAAAACCCTTTAAGGGCTTGGGGCTCAGGGCTTAGGAACCCTATAAACCATACAAGCCCCATAAGCCCTATAAACGTTGTAAACCCTAGTAGGGTTTAGGGTGAGGCTTTCAGGTTTAGGCTATCTACGACTCCTGTCATACAAGCACAGTCCCCCCAACCCTCTGCTTACCTGCGAAACCTGTCGTACAAGCACAGTCCCCCCAACGCTCCCTGCTTGTCTCCGCGGGAGGTCCCGCGGAAGGTCCGAAGATGAACAGCAAATGGCTTTTGCCTTCCATTCACCTATCATTTCTGATTGACCAAAGAGCAACGGTCTTCCAGGTGCACTAGAGCTGCGCCGCTGTGGGATTCGCTCAAATGAAGCACAATCCAGCAGCATCCGAAACGAGGCACTTCCGGTCCTGCATCCAAAACGAGGCACTTCCAGTACTACTGTTGTGCTACAATCAAGCACAATCCAGCCAGCATCCGAAACGAGGCACTTCCAGCCTTCATGCTATATTACATTCCAGCACAATCCAGCCTGCATCCAAAATGTGGCCCGAGGCGCTTCCAGTACCAATGCTGTACTACAATCATCGGAAGGATCAATAGGTACCGGGAGGCTGGGTGGGATATATGAGGTGGGATGTTCCGGAAAGGCATGTTGCAGAAGTCGGCCTTAAGCTAGAAATTGGTTACACGTTAGTACTCAGCTTTCAGACATCACATTGTGATCTTCGCAAGAGGAAACAAGAGCAGGAAATTAGACAAATCAAGGATTTGGTAAACAGAGGCGTGTTTGCGATCTTCATGCATGGATCTGAATGTTCCAAGCGGAGTACCGAACGGTCGTGGAAGTTTGGCCTATGCCAAGGCTGTAATAATCACGTGTTGGCGTCAATGTCTCGCTTGGCGGCATCTGCGTGTCTCTAGACGAGGGCGTCGTCTTCAAGTCAGTTTGTCATGAGGTTGTGTCAGCGTGGGTGTACGAGGGGAGGTGGATGAGGGAAACAGCCAGGCCAGCGACAGCAAGTGTTGAAATGTTGGTGTCGTCCTCGCTATCTGTTGCAATGTACCTGAGACAGGCATGCTGTTTCGTCTAAAATCACGGGAACTAGAACATGCCCGGTGTCCTGACAGCTTCTAGAATGTAGCAGTCGTCCTATCGTGCATGTGTTTATTCCTAGTGTTTCTTTTTGTGTCCTTGAACGTTTTTCGAGAAGTGCTACCTTGTGTAGCAAGTCGGACCGAAGCATTCTGCAATCTCGCATGGCAGTCTGTTCTGCTTCAGCTGTGTGCCGCGAACAGGCTTTCATGTCATATGTTGGCGACATTGGCAGAACATCATCACGAAACCAGATTCCTTTTTTTCTCAAAGGCGTGTTCAGGCGATTCGCGCTCCCTGTGAGACAGCAGGAGTTCCAGCAGGAAACCAAGCCGAAGTCAGCAGCAGCATGGAAATCCATTCGAAGTTTGTTGGTGCTGCATTTTTTCTACCGAACAAATTGATACACACGTGAAGCTTCAGAGGCCAGCAAGCCTGGAAGGCTGCACAGAGTGTCGGCGAACAGACTTTTTGTGGTGTGGCGTGTGTTGCGACCCGCATCCTGTGAACTGCTGTTGGTCACAGTCAGTGCTGCCAGTTTGTCACCGAAAGCTTAGCACATGCGCACGCTTTTTCGTAGGGATTCCCTTTGTAGGCCGTGTTTTTCGAAAGTGCGGCCACGAAATTCGAGCCCTGCTAGACATACTGCGTCGTGCTGCACTTTCCATCTTTGGGTGTAACAAGGAGTTTGCACTCGTTACGAACTCTGCATGTCTCTCCGCACGGGCGCCTCAAACAGAAGGTGAAGTTGCATTCTCAGCCAAGAAGTCGCTGTGATCACCGTAGGGTTCTCCGCAATGCCGCCCAAGGGTTCTGCAGCCAGCAAGAAGCACTTCCGCTCTTTGGCAGTCGATGACCAGATTGCCTTGCTGAATCAACGAGCCGACAGCTTGCTCCAAAAACAGCAGCTACGTCTGATCTCCGATGTGCTCAAAGAGCAGCCTGAGCTAATCCTGGGGGTAGTGAAGCACTTGGAATCCAAGGGGGTGCAGTTCCAGAAATTGGCATCCTTTGGCAAGTCCAAGCCCGCCGCCGAGGAGAGTACGGAGGGCCTCGAGGCGAAGCAGACCACAGTGGATGAGGATGACGAGAATAAGGGCACTGGGGGACGACCGCCGAAAGTCCGCAAGACCTCGGAGGTTCAAGACCCTGACCCCAAGAACTGGATCCCCCATGCTTACACACGGTTGGACAATACGAGAGCCCCGATCCTTGAGGACATCCTGGCCAGCATCCATGAGATTTCCTTCTCGCCCTTCATGTTGAAAGCTCTTCGCCCGAAGGGCTCCAAAGCAGCCGACTACCAAATCAAGCTGCAGGAGTTGCTCGAGTTTTCCACCGGGTTTGACGTTGCGAAGCCTCTGGTTGGTGACCTTCGCCACATCCCCACATTGAAGAAGACATTGATCGACATGTCTCAGCAGACAGGCCGTCGTGGAAATGCTCTCAAGCTGCCACCAGACTGGACTGGCAAGGACGGAATCTACGAGCTCTCATCGGACGAGGACGGCGTTGTGTCAGTTCGCCACCGCTACGCCAAGATCACCGTCAAGGTTCCCACAACGATGCACTTCACGGATGACAGCGGTGACCTCATTGATGTGGAAGACCTCGTCGTGGACAAGAACTATTCCCAGGATAAGGCCGTGATCACTTGGAGCGGGAGCCCTGAGTCCGTTCTCATCGCTTCCTTGCCCTGGCCCGCAGACGTCAAATCCACGGCAGAGCCCAACGAGAAGTCCAAAATGCAGCCCGAGACGGCTCTGGTGGCAAGTTCGCCTGAGAAGCCTCAGCTACGCCGCAAACCCAGCACGTTGAGCCTGGGGCCATCGGACGAGGGGAAAAGCCAGGAAACCTCGCCCATGAAAGCCTAGAAGACGTCCAGACGGTGTGCTGCAAGCCGATGGTTGTGCGGTACTTTTTGGGTTCACTTGCCCACGTGGCAAGACACGGGTGCGCGTGATTGTTGGGGATGTCCGTGGGAGTCAGAAGCCTCAGTTTCGAAAGATCGTCTTTGCGTGATGCAACAGAAGCCTGCAAGCAGCTTGACAATCTGTTTTTCATAGTCGCCGTCTAGCATGCACTCGAGGCTGCGAAGACCCAGGGGCATTGAATCCGCGCTTGTACACTTTCTGTTGCCAGCGGCACTGCTGCGAAGACCAGTTCGAGAAGCGGCATTAAACTTGCGGGCCGCATGTTCTGCATCGTTATGAAGGCTTGGGCTTGCAGGCTAGGTGTGACTAGTCGTGGCTTGAGAGATTGAGCAAAGTCATGAGGAACCTGCTGTTTGCAAACAGGGTAGTGCAGCAGTTTTGCTTTTTGTAGTGAGCTTCCTTAGGCAGCAGAGTACGTCCTGAAGCAGTTGCAACAGAATCCCCGTAGAAGGCACGAAAGTCCATCGAGTAGGTTTTCAAAATTGATTTAGTCTGCGTCGCGATGGTTGGCCCTGTAGCTTTGTAGCAGAGAAGCCAAGCTGGAGAAGATGTAAAGGAGCCGATGCCAGCCGTCGCAATAGTTTCAATTCACAGTTTCCGCAGGACCTAGGTTAGCGTAAAGACGCTTTGACCGAGACTTGCAGCTACCGTGAAAGTCACAGCGTCCATGGCGTCGTGCACTCGACGCTTCAAGTTTCGATTGTAGGGTTGCGCATCTAGGGCTTTGCAGGTCTGGGCAGGCTCTGATTCGGCAGTCCTTTGGCAGTGACAAACAAAGCATTTTTGAACGATGCTCCGGGTTGCACGGCACCGAAAGTTCCAGATGCGAGATTGTACGTTTGGGAAGGCGAACTGTATTGAGTGGGCTCATGGTTATCGCTTGATGAGAGTCTAGCCAGCATGGGTAGCTTACTTTGCGATTTTACCGTATGTCTAATTGCAGAAGATCAAGAGTAGGAGTGTGTCAAGACAGTGTGGATAGCATCCAGGCACATTTACTCGCCACACAGTCGCATGCAGACCGGTGCCACGGCACGATGGGTGCCATTGCCTGCGGAAAGTGGCATCAGAGCTTTGAAGTTTTGGCTGCATGAAAGCCAGCCACCAGCAAAACAAGTGAAGTGGGAGCTGCGTCGGCTCCTCGACGAGTTGCGCGATGCTGAGGCGGACACCAACAAAGTCCTCCGTGAGGAGAGGGCTCAGTGGAACGTGGTTTTCCGGACGGCTGGTAGCAGTGATGCAGACATGCTGTTGCCCAGTGCCTATGCATATCGTTACAAACATAAAGCAGAGCCTCCACTAGAGCTCGTGGATGAGCACCAGGTAGAAACTGCTGGTGCTATTTGCATCATGTTGTGGTACCGCCTTTTGCGCCGACAACCCGCAGGCCATGCGCGAGCAAACCTAGTGCTCCGCACGTTCGTGGAGACAGTACTCGAGAGTGATGACCTGGTTTCAGACCTAGAGCTGCTTACTCACTCGGACGCCGCATTGCAGGCATCAGCGCGATGCCAGCAGCAGCAGGGTGAAGCAGTTTCTGGAGACATCTGCAAACACGTGCACCAAATCTTTGTGACTGCTTTGCAAATGACAGAAGTTGGGGACGTGGTCTCGAGCTTGTTGCAGGGCATGTTCTCGAAGAGAGACGCGTGCTGTGCTGCCAGTCCGAGCTTCGAAGCACTGCTCGGAAAGATCACACTGCGAGTTGCCTCCCATGCTGGTGCTTTGGGCACCAGCAACCCTTTGGAGGGCGACATGGATGTTCGCGGCAAGAACAAGCGGAGACTGGATGGAGACCGCAAGTCTGCGCTCATCGCCAGGGCTTTGACGGATCGGAAGGCAAAGTCCGTTCGTTCGCTTGCTGTGGCGAGGGATGAAACTGGTGGGAGCAATGCGGATCGCTGGCTCATAGAAGAAGTGTCGGCCTATCGCTGGGCCACTGCGGCAAGTTTCCAAGGAGTGCAAAACCTGGCCGTGTGCTACGATGCTTCGAAGGTGGGCCAGCCCAAGGAGGAAACTTTGGTGGTTGCTGCTGCCAACGTTGACCGCGAGCTGGCGGCGTGGTTCATGCCCCAGGCAGGGAAGTCAAGCAGTGATAGACAGCAGTCGTCCGTGCACATAGCAAGCATTGTAACAACGAAGCGAGTCATAAGTGTTAGCGAAGCATTTTGCTGCGATCTTCACGTGGCGTAGGCACACACGAAGGCGACCCTCCGAACAGATACATGTCCCAATCCTTTTTGTTGCAGGACTAAAGTTGTGTATGTATCAAAAATGCCTGTTTTAGATACATGTATCCATTTGTGCGGTTTTAGATACATCGGCCTCGCCGTTTGTATCGACATTCTGTGTTGACATGAAATTTTGTATTTGTTTTGTTTTGTCGTCGTTTGTGTGGCTCAGGTTCTGAAAAGCAATCTGCTGGACGTCCCATCTGGCAGCACGAACCGATTAGAGGAACGTCTAGCCTCTTGCGTGGAAGGAAGCATCAACAGGACACTTTTACTGGAGCAGCTTGAAGAGGCGAAGGGTCGCAAGAAAGAGCGGAATGCTGATGACATCGACTATGATTTGATGGCGAACAAGTATTTTGCGCTGTCCTTGGATAAGTCGCTCCGGAAGTCCATTCAGCTTGGGCTCAGCTACTTCATGCCCTCCAACCCCCAGCTTTTGCTGAAGCCGGGAGAGACTTTGGCCCTCTTGGAGTTGGATGCCGCAGAGCGCCCCCAGGGCAGCGCAGCCCAGCGAGCTGTGGCAAAAGCTGGCGCAAGCAGCGAAGCTTCACACCGTGTCTTGGTTCCGCGTGAGGTGCGTGAGGGCAAGCTGCACAGGCCTGTGCTGCATCGGGCCCAAGATGAGGGCTCCATCGGGTGGGTCTGCTCGCTTTGGTTGGACAACTGCATGCAGCTACGGGGCTCCACCATTGAGGATCCAAGTCACCGTTTTCATGGGAACGACTTCAAGAATGCATTTGTCGCCAGTGGTGTGTGGCTCAATGTCTGCGAATGGGGAGTCCTGTACAATGCGGCGACCGCTCCATATGAGGGGCATGGGAATTTCAGCCTGCTGTTGGAGTGCAAAGAGCAGTACTTCAGACTGAGAGACCACACGTGTCCGTTGTTTGCTTTGTTGTACGAGCCCATCTGCGAGGAGTTGCAGTTGCCACTCTTGGAGCGCGGGACGGAAGACCACATGCGACGAGTCTCCCATCAGATCCAAGGCTGCCCAATCTTCCACCGCAAGGGCGACAGAGTCAAGATGGGAAGGTGGGCAAGCTGGTTTCGAGCTGCGAAGTTCTGGCGCGGTCAAAAGATGCCTGCGCTACTGGTGCTGCTCTTCGCTGGCATTCAGCGCAAATGGTGGGACTCCTTGTCGGGTCTTCCCCTGCTCAATGTGAGATGTGAGGAGCTGCAGGACCATCCGGAGGCAGGAGACGCGTCCTCTGCTCCAAGCAAGAAGCAAGCAGTGGAGAAGCGGAGCACTGGTGGTGTGGAACCGGGTTCAAAAGCAGGCAGCTCTGGAGCAGCCTCTTCCTCGTCTTCGAGCCGCCAAGCGCCGGACTCGAGGCCTCCGGCGCCGGATGCCGCAGTTCCGCCAGTGGCCGGCTTGGACAAGAAGTCGGTGAAACAGTCCAACGCGGAGCTGAAGAAGCTCAGAGGCGAAGCAAAGCACTGTTTGCATTTTTGTGCCAACTTGCTTGCAAACCCATTTGGGTGTTGCTTGACAGAGCAAACAGTTTCAGTTTGCGAGCCTCTTTGCGAGTTCGTGGATCGCATGCGAACAGTGTGTACAAGCGTACGTGGTTCGGAGCAGTGGCACATCGACTTGGTCAATGGGTCGCTCGATGCTGCCATACAACGAACATGGCGCCTCCTCACACAGAGCGAGATGTTGGAGCGAGCTGGCTACTGCAGTCGTGAAAGCCACGAATGGCGCACTGCAGCCGAGCTTGAGCAGGACAATAGACTGGCGGCTGCGCTCTTTGACACATTTTCCAACGTGGCTACTCAGTTTACTCTGTCAGGTATGACATGGACGAACAGGTATCCAGGGCGGTTCGTCTCACTCTTGGACCCGAACCTCGAGCAGCAGAAGGCCAACATGCTCCATGTGAAGAAGGATTTCGAGCTCTTTTTGAAGCTTCAAGAGCTTGCGCATCACTCTCCGCTTGCAAAAAGCTTCACTTCATGGCGGATCTGCAATGGCCTTTGCAGACCTTTGTGGTTGAAGTGTTTTACATGCTTTTTGAGACAGGCTTTTCGGACTTGACAGATGAGTTACGGCAGCTTCTCGTGGGCTTCTCTCGGTCCTGGCTTGGGTCCGTCATTGACGAGGAGGCCTTCAACTGCCTGCGCAACAACTCCTCGAATCAAGCTGCAGGCTTCATGGGTCGCTCGGCTCGCTGGGGGAATTTGTGCCGCTCGCCACTGCTCTCCCAACATGGTAGGAGGACAGTGGAAGTCACAGCAACAGCGAGAGCTCAAGGAAAAGGACCTGTCCCCAAGAGTGCTTTCGTTGCTACAAATGCCAGCGAGTTCGATCTGGGAAGCGATGCCCTTGAGACGATGAGCTCTCCGAATTGGCCACACCCCAGCCCTGCAGGCCACAAGTTGGTCGGTGCTGCCTGGGCGGCTTGGCAGGCCGCTGCGTGTGACCTTCAAGTTTTGTCACGAAGCTGGCAGAGCTTGCTTGCCACTCCAGGTTGTATGCTGGCAGACAGTAAGAAAAATTTGCTGGGCGTGGTGTTGGGCTGTAACCCATGGTGTTTGTTCTACATGCCCACCAAGAGCCGGCGCCTCGCACATGGGCACCTGCTCATACGTCCTGACCCTGACGGTGTCCTCCAGACTCTTTGCATTCAGGATGGCAACAAGTGGAGTGCCATGAAAGCCACCATAGCCTCACCTGTTCAAGTGGCCAAGTGGGCCGATGCGGGAGAC